TGGTTGAGAATGACCAAGCTAAGATCCTGTGGGACTTCCAGATACAAACTGGCAATGGCCAACCAACCAGACATAGTAGTGGTGGACAAACAGAGGAAGAAGGCCGTAGTGATAGATGTAGCAATCCCAAGCGATAGCAACATCAGGAAGAAGGAACATGAGAAGCTTGAGAAATACCAAGGGCTGAAAGAAGAGCTAGAAAAGATGTGGAAGGTGAAGGCACAAGTGGTCCCCGTGGTAATAGGAACATTGGGGGCTGTGACCCCCAAACTGGGAGAGTGGCTCCAACAGATCCCAGGAACAACATCACACACACACACACACACACACACACACACGTATTGCACTGAAGGTTATTGTCCAATCATACTGTCGTTGATTCATCAGTGTTGGTCTGGGGGAAGAAACTGTCCTCCAATGCAGGAAGGGGGAGGCCAATCATTTTCTCAGAAGTTTTGGTGACTCTCTAAACTATTGTCCTCTCTGATTCTGCGCAATTTACGAACCAAACCTGTAATACAGCACGTTAAAACATTCTCTCTTGCAGAGTAATAGTTTGTTAACTGTGTGTTTCTTGTGTGGTCCTATGTGTTTTTGCTGTGTTTGTGTGTGTTCTCAGGTTGAATGGCTCATATGAGGCGCTGTCTGGTGGCAGCACCACTGAAGGTTTTGAGGATTTTACGGGTGGTGTTGCTGAGATGTATGAGCTGAAGAAAGCTCCCAGAGATCTTCATCGTATCATCAGCAAAGCTCTGGACAGAGGGTCACTGCTGGGCTGCTCCATCGACGTCAGTCTCACTCATTTACATGATCTTTATTTGAATCTACCGGCCGACATTTCACTAATCCTCTCCCCCACTGATTGTCCAGGAAGAGCCACTGTGGAGTCACTCTGGGATGCTAAGAGTTTAGGCTAATGTTAGCATTCTCTGTTAGAGTTTTACACTCCAGTAACTACAGCTAAGGCTGCCCAACAAAGTGCCAGGTTTCACAGACTGATCAGCCAAGCAGAGTTACATTTAATCACCCATCTAGCCTTACTTTTTTTTTTTTTACTAAAGCTCTACACAATTTCTTTTTGTATTCATCAAATACAGATTTTAGTCTTTTACGGGAGTCTCATTTTAAAACAAGTTTCAACCGACTCATGGATCTAATATTAGCTTAGGTAGCTAGCTAGATGCAGATGGTAAACAGTGCTGGCAAAATTCATTTCTGACTAAAATTCAGATGCAGCTTTTGTTGAGGGCCAGCTTCTTGTCAAGTCAGGAATCTTTATTGTCATTATGCATAGCACAACAAAATTTTTTCCGGCAGCTCTCAACATATTATTTACATAACACAAAATGGTATAAGTCAATATAAAAATATGAACAAATAAAAAGGGATGTATGGGACCTAATCAGGTCAGCAGCATGTTAGCATCAAGAGTGTAGTAACATTATAAGGTGGAGCTCAGTGCAAATCTCAGTCTTTAGGAAGAGGTGTGAGGTCCAGTGTTCTGTGTCTGTCCATAGGGGGGAGGTTGTGTGTGTGACTAGGGGTTGGAGGGGGTGATTGATTTCACAGCTCTGGGGAAGAAGCTGTGTCTTAGTCTGTTTGTTTTAGTCTTTATATTCCTGTACCTTTTCCTGGAGGGAAGAGGCACAAACAGACTGTTGCCTGGGTGGGTGGGGTCTGCAGCAATCCGTCCGGCCCTCCTCTGGATCCAGTCAGTGTATAGTGAGTCCAGATCCAGAAGAGGACTCCCTACAATGCCCTGAGCTGTTCTCACCACCTCTCTACTGTCGCTCTGTAGAAGTTTGCGAGCAACTGAGAGGAGAGACCAGCGCGTTTCAGCTTCCTGAGGAAGAAAAGCCTTTGCTGGGCTTTCTTCACCAGATATGATGTGCTCAGAGACCAGGTCAGGTCAGATGTGATGTGGATGCCCAGGAACTTGATGTTATCCACTTGCTCCACCACCTCCCCATGTATGAGAAGAGGAGCATATTTTGTCTTCCTGGACCTCCTATAATCCACAAAGACAAAATATGTTGAAACAAAGAACCTTTTGTTTTAGTTTAAGTGTGAGCTTTGGTGACGTATCACTGTATTCTTTGTAAACTGTGAAGTGCCATTTGAGAACAGAAAGTGTGACAGACTACTGCAGACTGACAGCTTCTTTTAACAGTCAATTACAGTTATATCCAAACCATTTTCAGCTTCTGCTGCATTAAGGGAAATGTTCTATTCTGACTTTGGATCTTTCTGACTTTACACTCACCACCTCCTCCTGTAGAGATTCAGGAAACAAAAGTATAGCCATATAGGACAAAAACGGCTAACTCTCCAAGGGGCTTAGTGGGCACAGTTAGCTATCATGGCTACTCCAAGAGGCTAAAAACTGTTTTCTGTAGTGTGGGCCCAGAAACAGGCATCTGACAGTATTTGAAAAGGTTTAGAAGGCTTGTGCTGTTTGCCCTGATAGTTTGTGTTGCCAGAGATGTGCTTTCTGTATAGTTAGACTGCAAAGTTAGTGCTGACTCTGGAACACAGTAACGAGAATGAAGTTGTGCAGACACTGTACTATATTGTTCTTAATCTTGTGTACTGCATTTGACTCACACTGCTTGTTGTTTCTGTACAGCCTGAACCTTTCACACTGTATGGATCATGTGACTGACCACCACATGGTGCTTTAACTGAACATCTCACAGGAAATTACTTAGTTCAAGCAATTCAGGGCTAATATCGGATTGAACCTGTACAGAGTCTGCCTGGTTTAAGACCCAACAGGTCAGCTGCTGTCAGATAACCAGGCTCAGTCTCCCGTCATCCTGTTAGCATGTCTGATTGATTATAACTGTGTGCACCATCTTCAGATCACCAGCGCCTTTGACATGGAGGCAGTGACTTTCAAGAAGCTGGTTAAAGGTCACGCATACTCAGTGACTGGACTCAAACAGGTCAGCTCAACTATCACTGTGCTGTTAAACTCTGGCACCGCCTCAGATTTAGTGTCTGATTCTGGATGTTTGCCCTCCTCTCTGTAGGTGGAGTACCGTGGCCGAAAGGAGCTTCTGATCCGAATCAGAAACCCCTGGGGACAGGTGGAGTGGACCGGAGCATGGAGCGACAAGTCAGTGCTTCACTTTTATTCTTTTAAATTATGTTTATGACAAATCATTTGTTGACACAAACCGGCAGACCAAACATCGCAGCAGGAAATGTGAATAATTGTATGTGTCTGTGTCAGCTCCTCAGAGTGGAACTCCATCGACTCTGCAGAGAAAGATGAGATGCTCTGCAAGATGGAGGACGGAGAGTTCTGGTAGGTTCGGACTAGGAGGACAAGCCTGAGTGTAATGTCAAGGATGGACACAGTTACATGTGTTTGTCTGTATGTCAGGATGTCTTTCCAGGAGTTTCTGCGTCAGTTCTCCAGGCTGGAGATCTGTAATCTAACGCCAGACGCTCTCAGCCAGGACTCCACCAGCTTCTGGACCACCGTGACATTTGAAGGTGGCTGGAGGAAAGGAAGCACCGCCGGGGGCTGCAGGAACCACCCCAGTAAAGATTTTCTGTTCAGCTACATTTCTCACAGGCGTCCCGATACCAAGCAGAGCTTCTTAGAAAAGTTGAAACTTGATGAAGTGTCGGTTGAGCTGCAGATAAAAGTGTTGATGAATGTGAGGAACCCGTGAACCTCTTTAAATAGATGTACTGTGAGTAGCTTTGGACAGAAACATCTACCCACTGAAGAAGTAATAATAAATGTCATGCAAAGCTTCACCAGGTTTGAAGCTTCACTCTCAGACAGCTTGATGTTAATGGCTTCTTTGGTTTCCACATCTTTCTACATTGGTGAACATAGTCTGAAGACCATGTAGGTCACAGTGTTGCATCCTTAAATGTTTAGGAGCCTTGAAGTGTGGACCGCGTCTTTTCATTTGTCTGATGCTTTTGTCCAGAACCTGAACCCACTGCGGTTTAATGAGCACACTACCTTCTTTTATATAAAAACTACATATCCCATGATACCTTTGGCTGCTGCTGCCTCTCTGCAGACACGTTCTGGATCAACCCTCAGTACAAGATCTGTCTGCTAGAGGAGGACGATGACCCTGAGGACGACGAGGCCGCCTGCAGCTTCCTAGTGGCGCTGATGCAGAAAGACCGCCGCCGTTTCCGCCGTCAGGGGCAGGACACGCACACCATTGGCTTTGCCATCTATGAGGTCAGAGGTGAAACATCTCTGACCTTAAATATTTAATTATTTTATTTTGCATGATCCTCTTGCCATTTGTTGTACTGTTCCAGGGTTAGCTTAAGGTTAAATTACACCTACATTCTCTTGGCAGGTCACATTTGAAAACCTGAGCACAAAGAAAACCTATTAGTAGAAATGGTGATTATGGGTGAATCCGAATTCCCTTAATTTATTGGTCTTCACTCCTCACTCACATCCCAAAGCTCTTACTTCTGCTCTGTGGAGTGAGGAGGCTCCCGGAGGAGCTAGAACTGCAGATATATGAGTGCATCTTTCACCATAGTCTGTTACGGACTGAAACACTCCTTTATTAGAAATCGGTTTGTGAATGGCTGCTTCTCATGAAGGAAGAAAGGATGTCTCCTGTCAGTTGAAACATGTTTCTTTGGTTCCTCTCTCCTTGCATTTGACATAGGAGAGACAAAGATGCAAGTGAGGGAACCGTGGACACAGTTAGGGAATTAGGATTCACCTCAGGTTTTATCAGTCTGTGTTTGTGACTTTTCTTCTGTGTTTTTGTCTCCCACAGATTCCTGAGGAGGTGAGTGGCTCCACATTTCGCTTTAGAATATATTCAACTATTTTCTTTGGGATTATTAACTCCGACGTCTGTTTGTTCCTCAGTACCGCGGCTGTCCTAGCATCCACATGAAGAAGGAGTTCTTCCTGCGCCAATCCTCCTGTGCTCGCTCAGAGACCTTCATCAACTTGCGAGAGGTGAGCGCCAGGCTCCGCCTCCCACCGGGTGAGTACCTGATCGTCCCATCAACCTTTGAACCGTCGAAGGAGGCTGACTTCGTCCTGAGGGTGTTCACCGAGAAACAGTCCGAAACCCAGTGAGTCAGTTGGATCAGAACCTGGTTCTTTAAGAGAAATATTATAGTCGGTAGTCATTTCTTTTACATAATGTAGGTCGGTAACAGTGTGAAACTCTGCAGGGAGATGGATGACGAGGTGGTGGCGATCTTCGAGGAGGAGGTAATAGAAAATGTCTTTATCACATTTTTAATGCCATGTTTTTGTTCCCAGATTTGCAGTTTCAGATAACTGTCAAAGAAACGTGTTAGATGAACTTTCTCTTCGTGTTATCAATGATCAGTTTCTCTTTTCCAAAGTCTTCGTTTGTTAACTGGGTTTAGTTTCAACACACTACAGAACTGTACATTTATATTCATACTCTGTTGTCTTAGCACCCACTGCTACCTCAGATATTTCATCTTTCTGAGGGTTAGGGTTAATCTTGGAATGACTTGCTTTGATTCAGTGGACATTTGTCATCTTTGTTTTCTTGATCAAAACATCTTCAACTTTGGTAGATTGTCAGTTACAGTGTTGACTGTTGGGCATCTGCAATGAGAAACATTTGTTTTACATTTATATTTGATTTGATTTTGATTTATCCTACCTTAGTTGTCAGGACACAGCTCTCAGCTAAACCCATGTGTATCTGAGTTCATGTAGGGCAAAGTCTGTTTCATCACTCTTTTCTGGCTGTATTATGCCATGACCTTTGACCTTGTCCTCTGCAGGAGGAAATCTCTGAGAGCGACATTGACGACTCCTTCAGGTCCATGTTCGTTCAGCTGTCTGGAAATGTGAGTCTGCGTTTACTGCAGTGCCAAATTGTTACAGTTCCACAACCCCACTAGCCGTGCTAATGCTAAGCTAACAAACAGTAGCTGACCACTTTAAGCTGCACTCAGGGATCATGTGACTGACCTGGTCCCTCAAACACTGATGCTTTTGACTCTTGCCCTCTGTGACCGTGTGTTTCTGAGTTTAGAGAGCTCTGGCTTTAATAATCACACTTAATGAAATAAATCTTTTATAATATTTATTTGTATTTGTGTTGTTGAACCCTAAGTATTTTCTCCCATCAGGATATGGAGATCTCAGTGCGAGAGCTCAGGACCATCCTCAACAGAGTGGTGTCCAAACGTGAGTTTTACCTGTAGCTACCACTGCTGAAAGGTTCACGTGTGCACCACAGGCCTAGCTGAGGAACTGGCTCCAGCCGCTCTTTGAGAATTAGAGACCAAATCCACATACGATAATCACACACTGGGGCACAAAACAACATGAGTCATAAAAATAAGGACTTACTGGGACATCCTGATAGTAAAGAGTTACAGTAGTCCAGCCTGGAAGTAACAAATGCATGGACCAGTTTTTCAGCATCACTTTGAGACAGGATGCTCCTGATTTTTGCAATATTGCGCAGGTGAAAGAAGGCAGATCTAGAGACTTGGTTTATGTGTGATTTAAAGGACATATTCTGATCAAAGATTACTCCAAGGTTCCTCACAGTAGTACTGGAGGCAAGAACTATGTCATCTAAAGTAACTATATGATTAGACAGATTTCTTTCATGAATCAGAATCTGATTCTTCTTCGATGAATTTGACGTTTCTATTTTGAAATAACTTGCGTCCACATTGGTCGGCTTCCCAGGTGGTTTTAGAAGAGACTCAGCTTTAGTCTGGAGGGAGGCAGAAACAGGGGAAAAAATGAGTTTCAGAGTGCTGCTTCTTCTTCTTCTGTGGTTGCTACAGACAGAGACCTGCAGACTGATGGGTTCAGCATGGAGTCCTGCAGAGCCATGGTCAGCCTGATGGACGTATCCTCACTCTGCTGCCCTACTGTTTCTGTTGCTTTTATTTTTGTTAGAGTTCAGCACAAAGTCACCCTGAACTAGAAATGTAAAAGCTGATGGTCGGATCTGTAAGTCAATGGGAGGACTGTGCTGAAACACTGACTGCATCAGGAACAGGCATCCTCCAGTATAATATGATCCAGCAGCTCTGGGTTCATGTTTAGTGGAACAAACCTGTAACGTTGTTAGGAGGATTCACATGTGTGTAAAACCGTTCCTTCTTGAAATTAAATGTTTCGACCTTGACTTGAGCTCAGAAAGATGGCAGCCCTCGGCTCGGTCTGCTGGAGTTTCAGGTCCTCTGGAACAAGATCAGGAAGTGGCTGGTGAGTCCTTGAAGTATAAATAGTTCAGTTCATTTATTTTGTGTTTACTGGAGCCCAATGAGTGCTACAACCCGAACTTTGTTCCGCATAATCACGTGGGTTGACACAGACAGTCCTGCTTTGCTCTTCCACTGTATTTTGTCTGTGTTGGCCTCTGTTTAGAGGAGGGAGGGGCTGTGGCCCTCTCATATGCTTGGACATTGAACCAGTCACAGGCGACTGCTCTGTGCCCCCCCCAACAAGAGTAAAAGTCATGTTAGTGCATCAGTAGTACTCTAATGAGAAAGCATGCAGGATTTGCACAGAACCCCTCGAGGCAAATCTGGTATTTGTGATATTGGGCTATACAAACAAAAATCTAGCCGCAAGGGTTTCAAACCGATGACTTCTGTGCCGGTCCCAAACCCGGATAAATAGAGAGGGTTGTGTCAGGAAGGGCATCGGATGTAAAATGTGCCAAATTTTAACATGCGAATCATCAGTGTGATCCACGAGGGAAGGTGAGAAGGACTTGTACAGATTAGACAGAGAGATAGAGATGGGAAGGATGTGCAACAGATAAGGGTGATTAAAGACAGAGATGGAAAGGTGCTAACAAGTGAGGAGAGTGTGCAGAGAAGATGGAAGGAGTATTTTGAGGAACTGATGAATGAGGAAAATGAGAGGGAAAGAAGGGGGGAAGAGGTGAATATTGTAGAGCAGGAAGTAGCAAAGATTAGAAAGGATGAGGTGAGGAAGGCTCTGAGGAGAATGAAGAGTGGAAAGGCTGTTGGTCCAGATGACATACCTGTAGAGGTGTGGAAGTGTCTAGGAGAGACAGCAGTGGAGTTTCTATCTAGTTTGTTCAACAGGATTTTAGAGAGTGAGAAGACGCCTGAGGAATGGAGGAGAGGTGTACTGTATGAGGATGTCAGGAGTGGCAGAGAAGTACATCAGAGTAGTCCAGGATATGTATGAGAGGAGTACGGCAGTAGTGAGATGTGCTGTAGGTCAGACA